TCAGGTCCACAGCCAACAGGGCTGTGGGGCCTGAAGACTTCGGGGCGGTAGGAGGAAGCGTGGACCGTGCTAACTGGCTGGGCACAGCAGGGCTCAGCCTGGTCAGGTGTCTGGGAGACTCCAGTGCTGGTCAGAAGGTGCCATGCTGGGTGGACAAGCCTCCTGCTGGTGCCTCATCAGCCCGGAGCCGCCGGGCACCGTTCCCATCCCTCAGCAGCCCAAGGGGCCGCCTCAGGGGTAGAACTCCCGCCTTCCATGCGGGAGACCCGGGTTCGATTCCCAACCCCTCTTGCTCAGCCACCACCCCACCCATCTGTCCTGGAGGCTCACGTGTTGCCGGGATGCTGCACGGGTTTCAGGGGGACCTTCTGGACTCAGACACTAGGAAGAAACGCCTGACTATCACCGTCTGAAAATTACCCCGAGACCCCTGTGGACTACAACGGTCAGATCTGTGAGCGGTCACCTGGAAGGCACAGGAGTGGCTGGTGTTTTGTGTCATTGTGCATGGGGTTGCCGGGGGCCACGGCCGACTTGGCGGCTGCTGACAACTTCAGAAAGAGGCCGGACTTGGGAACCGCCAGTCAGACGCGACCGTCCAGTGGGGCGCACACCCCAAGACCAGAGACGGCGACACTTGACTTCTGACGCCATCCCTACAGACTGAGGGTCCTTCCAGGACACAGCAGGCGCTCCCCTCCCTCACCGTTTCTCCCTGTGTGGCCCCTCCCCCCGGGCACGTGCTGGGGAGGTGGGCTCACTACGGCATTGGATTTCCAGTAACACCCCTGGGGGCTGTGCCTGGGGGGTCACACGTGGTCACTGAAGCGCTCCAACCTCTTGAGGGCGTCCCTGAGTCTGGGGTGACTTGTCCCAGGCCTGGGGCTTCCCCGGGGCCAGTACCTGGACCCCGTGTGATCTCAACACCTGGGCTCAAGGTTCGACGATGAAGGAACCTTTGGCACGCGGTTGACTTGACTCACGGTGACCCCATGTGTCAGAGAACCGGGCTCCGGACGGTCTTCAACGCCTGATGGTCAGGGCTTTCTTCCCAGGTGCCTTTAGGCGGACTCAAGCCTCCGACCTTTCTGTGAGCAGTGAGTGTGATCACCCTTTGAGCCACCCAGGGACCCCTGAGTTTTGGCAAAGCAACCGGAAACCCCCTGGCGAATTTCCCTCAGGCCCTGACCAGCAACTGCCCACAGAGGAATGGACAAGGGGTCGGCCTGGGGCCTGAGCGCTCAGGAACCCTGCGGGCCCCAAAACTCCCATGCTGGTTGGAGGCCTGGGGGTGCAGGACCGAGCACGGCCCCCTCCCGCTCTGGAGCTGGCCGCTGGCGCGTCAAGGTAATGGCTGAGGCCTGGCACCGCGGATGCTGGGGCTGGGGCGGTGCACTTTTTGTGCCGGTCTCACCGTCCATCAGTAAAGGCACTGGACGAGGGGCTCTGGTTCTGATAATCTCGGACTCAGAGTGGCCAGGAATGGACCTGCTCCTTGGCCTGGGCTTGGCCAGACACCCATGGCTTTCAGAATGTTCCAGAATTCTTGCCTGAAAAATCAACCCCATGTAGGAAACCAAAGTGTTGTACATGTGCCTAATAGTTTTTCCCACAGGACGGAGAAGGTAGGCAAACGGGCTGATTGGCCCCTCAGAGGGTCAGGGCCAAGGCCAGCCCTGCCCTGCTCAGCAGAGGATATAGCAGCCTCTCCAAGGCACACAGGCCCTGACATCCATCCCTACGCTTTGCAGGGTCACCTTTGGGGAAGTCAAGGGTGGGGGTGCTGTGGCTGCTCTCCCCAAACCCCTCCAACCTCCTGGGAAAGAGCAAAGGGGACCCACTCTGCCAGACGGTTCAGGGACAAGCCGACAGAGCCATTTTGGGCTGCAGGCCAGAGACCGTGTAAGCAAATAAGCAAACCTCCTCCAGGTTGACCAGCTGGCTGGGCAGTACATCCCACAGAAGACAATCCCTGGGTGTCTGCCCTTCGTAGACTGGCCTCACGGCCTTGGGGCTCAGAGGATGGCCACCACGGTCCTGCCCATGAGGGACCAGCTGGCGTGAGTTGGGTGCCTTTGACTCTGCCCATCCCAGTGTAAGCTGTGTCCAACACCCATGCCCACCCCCGAAACAGCTCCCCATAAACTGGATGGGTCTTCTCCAAGGGCAAGGCCAGAGTGGGTGGGGGACCACATCTCCTGGACCCCGGGGCCTCCCTGCTGTGTCTCAACCTGAGACCAAGGGGCTGAGGCCAGGGCTCAGGCTGGGTGTGGCTCAAGTCGGCCCACCCCGGGCTCAGCGCGGCAGGGGCTGCACGAGGGGCTCGGGACACACTGGATGGCTCCCCTGGCCTCGTTTGCCCACCCTGCAGGGCTGGAGCAGCATGGCCCATTGCCTGGTCTCAGTGCATGGCTGGTCACCTCTGGCCCACACCAGACGGGCCCACGCTTGGCGGTTCCTGCTGCTCCGTGCCCTGCACTGTCTAGTGGGTGCCCACCAGGCCCTGCCAGCCCCAGGTCCTCCACGGTACAGCATGCCGCCCGTCCCCGTGCACCCCAGGGCCCCACGCCAGCAGCTCAGGCCCCACGTGAATGTTTTTCTAAATTCAGCAATGACCACGAAAGCAAGAGTAGGCTCGTTAACTTTAATGAAATTGTCGTTTTCTGGTGTCTGAGCACGCGGCAGACCCTCCTCCCCGTGGCAGGACACAGAAACGAAGCTGCTGGGAGCCCATCCACCAGAGGCTGGGCAACGCGAGGACCAAGCAAGTGCGACGCGTCCCTCCCTGCCGGAGGGCCAGCCACCAGGCCTCGCGCAGGGCTGTGTCCGGGGGCGAGCCTGCCCCCGCTGGGCCCACAGAACACAGCATGGTCCAGCCCCACGCGACCTGGCTTTGCTGAGTCGACACGGCCTCGAGCCCTCGAGTTAGACAGGACCACAGAGGCGGCCGAGATGCAGGCCAAGTTGCACAATGGCGGCTCTGTGCTTACAGGGCCACAAGGGAGAGGTCAGCCAGTCATCCGATGTCCCATGTCCCCTATAAATAAAAGCGAAAACAGGCGGAGAAGCGGGAACAAAAGTTGGCAGAGACATGGATATACTGCCTTCCAGTTTCAATGCAAAAAATGCAAATTATAAGACTCAGAGTAGCAAGGGCCTGGGCTCGGGGCAGCTGAGACCGACAGAAACGGGAGAGGGGTGTGGGGTACACGGGCGGGCAGGGCGTGGGCACCACATCCAGAAACGAACAGGGCGTAGGGTTCCCTGCCTTGGGCCCTGGACGGTGGCGCTGCACCAACGCGGTGGGCTCGCCTCCCGCTCGGGAAAGTACAATAAACACCGTGTTGAGACAGAAAGCTTCCAGACGACCCGGGGTCACTCTGCGGTCAGCTAACACCCCTCGGCCTTTGGCTGGCCTCGGCAGGCCCGCAGCAGAGGGCGGGCAGGGACGCACGGCCCCCCGCTGTCCAGGCTCCCACAGGTGCTGCTGCTGGCACGTGCAGGGCCAGGCCCCGCCGTCGACATGGGAGAGATTTTCCGACAGGCTGCCTGGTCCGCTGCGGGTGGAATCCTGCGACCACCAAGCCTCCCTGAGTCAAGCCACCGGGTTACTCCCCGGGCAAGCTACCCCCCGCCTCCTGCAAGGCCAGCATGGCACCCCTGCCTCCGTTTTCTCTCCCTTCTCTTGACCCCCATGTCTCTTCTTTCTAAAACAACACGACCATTCTTGGATCTGTTAACCCAAAATAGCAGTGGTCTCCCCAGTTCCTTCTCTAAGCCAGGATGCTCGGGAGTTGACTGAGGACGCCCTGGTGGGCATCTCGGTGCCCCTGGCGCCCCCACCCACCCCCTGCAGTAGCCCCTGATCCCAACCCTCCACACGCGGAATGTTCTGGAAACTTCAGAGACGGCTCCCAGTGACAACAGAGCTGGCGCTCTGAGGAAGACAAAAATGCTGACCGGACACAGGATGTCCGATGACAGTCTATCATCTCATTAGGAATCTGTTAGGAAAAAATTAGAAACTATGTATAAAACTTAAAAATATTCAAGTATCAAAAGGCTGTCTCGGTCAAAGTTTAGAGCAGGCTGTGGGCAAACAGCTGCCAAGAGGGCGTGTTTACAAAACGGTACTGAGTGAGCCCAGCAGGGAGGCAGCAGGGACGGATGGTGGGGAGGTCTAGCGGCCGCCGGGGTGTGGGTGGGAGGCACGAAGGCCGCGGAAGCCAGAGAATGAGGCCTTCAGCCGAGAACGAAGCCTGGAGGGACGTGGCCACTCTCCCTAGAAAGCAAAGCACGTCATCTGGACTCCCATCCGGTGTCCACGCTGAGGATGTCACACACATTCACGCACAGCGGCCCCCAAGGGACAAGCGGACAGCAACAAGGAAGCCACAGGGCAGGACCAGGAAAGCCGTCTCTACACAGACGGGGCGGAGAGAGGCGGCAGCAGGGCTCAGAGGCTGCACGACGCTGACGTAGCTGGTCAACCCAGTCGCCACACAGTCGAGGGTCTAAGTCGGGGAAACCCAAGGCCCACGAGGGACGGGGCTGCGGCCCCCCCACGCATAAAGCAGCAGCAGTGTTTATTCAAGACACAAGAGTGGGGGAACCTGGTTACGCTCCCCTTTTCCCGGGAAGAAGGGTGCGTCTTCACGAGGAATCCAGTAGAAATCTTTTAAATTAATTTTACAGAAACTGTGTGTGGAGGCTGCCCCCTGCAGGCCCGTGTGGAGATGCACAGGTTTGGGGCGCCCTCTGGTGGGCGCTTGGAGAACCACAGTTGGAAGGCCAGCCCAGGCTGAGACCCATGGGGCTCAGAGCTGCCCAAGGGTGCCTGGGCCACCTTTGCCTAGAGTCGCTGTCTCTGGGCAGATGGCCCAGCTCTTGGGGACAGCCAAATGACACCTTGAGGAAGTCCAGTCCGTGCTCTGTGGATGGTGTGTTTCCTGGCAGAACCGTGGGGACGTCTGTTGCCTCGTGGAGGTAGACGGCCTTAGTTAGACTTCGGTGGAGAAGAGGACGCTCTGTCGCTTGCTGTCTGGGGCAGGGATGGCCTCCAGCTGCAGGAAGTATAGCAACACCTGGACCTGCCCAGGGGGAGGGGACGAACGGGCTCAGGGAGTAGCTCACAGCTGCAAGTGCCTGGGTGCAAGCCTTGCTCAGGGTGTGAGGCCAGCGGTGCTGTGGGGCCCACCACTGGGGCTGACAGAGCCTTTCACAGCTGAGGACTGGGGGGAAAGGAGCCCCGAGAAGGCCTGCCTTGGGCTGTGTTATGCCCCAGGCTGGGTGCAGACACTTGGGGGGCAGGGGTGGTCCCCCCAGAAGCCCAGCATGATACAGAGGGGAGCGCAGCAGCCTGGGCCCACCCGCCCCCACTGCCACACCGCCCTGGGCAGGCCCCTCCTCTCTGCCTTGTGGGTGGGGGTGACAGCAGTGCCCGAGGTAGACCGTACCTGTGACATGACCTCCAGGGACCAGCTGTCGGTCATGGTGATGGGCTGGCCGGGCGTGGCAGGGAGTTTGCTCTCCTTCTCCGAGGGCCTGAGCAACGTGGGGCCGAAGACTGTGGCTAGGTTGTGCAGGGACATCTTGTTTACGGCTTCTTTTTCTGCCACCCTGTCGCGAGTCCAGGAGGGGGTTGTTTCAACATGCTGAGGGGATGGGGTCACCCCAGCGTCCTTGTGGAGCACGGCAGCAGATGCCCCCCGTTTCTGCCTGTGCTGGCCACCCGGGGAGGGTGGGTCACAGCCCTGGCTGTGCTAAAACCACCCCATGGTCCTGGTGGACCTGAGAGCCCAGGAGGGAAAGCACCAGGGCAGGGGCGGGCACTGCTATGGCCCCCAGAGAACAGCAAGGGTGCAATGGTGACCAGCACCCAGAGGAATCGAGAAGCCAAGTGGGGAGCAGAGGCTGAAGGAGCCAGTGGGAAGGGAGAACAGCCCCTCTGTGCCGCCTGGGGGTCCTGGCCGAGTGTGCTACCTTTTCAGGTGGTCCAAGAGGAAGAGGAAGGTGAGCAGATTGGCCTCCGGGAGTGACAGCAGCAGGTTTAACATACAGCTCTCCTTCGCAACGGGGTCTGAAAGAGCTGCAGAAACGGGCACGGCTCGCAGCCACCGCTGGGGGGCGTGGCCTTTGTCCACACTGTGCTGCCGTACAGCTCCACCCCTCCAGCCCCCTTTCTGTATCTCAAAGCATCCAAGCCTCCCAGGGACCCAGCCCTCCTGGCTGGCTCGGCCATTTCCGGCGCCCCCCACCAGGGGGCACTGGTGGTCCAGCAAGCGGACTCTCGCCTCTGATGCAGGAGACAGGGGTTTGATTCCTAGCCCCTGCACCTCAGGCCACCTCCCGTGTCAGCCGTCAGCCGTGTTGTGCGGAACTTCGAGACTAAAACGAATTAGGTCTGGGCTCACCATGTGCAGGGGAAGTCACCAACAGCTGACACAGGAACTGACCCCCCTGCCGAGCCCCCAGCACCTCCCTGCCTGAGGCTGAGCAGTCACAGGGACGCAGCCCTGTGTGTGGGCCTGACCCCATATTTGCGGCTGAGAGCAGAGGTGGTCAGTGTCATTGTCAAACGGCCCGGAAGCGTGCCTCAGAGAAGCCCTGCAGCTCCAAGATCGCCACCCCGCATCTGGGCACGAATTCCCCCTTTGCCAACCTCCGCGTCCTGCAGGAGGGGAAGCCCTGGAAGGATGGGTGGGCGGGGCCTTCCTGAAGGGGAGGGCCTGCGGAAGGGGCGTGACTGCAGGGGTGGGGCCTGTGGAATGGGCGTGGCCTTCTGGAGGGGCGTGGCCTGCCTCACGGGGCGGGGGGGCCCTGGGCAGGAGGGGAGATGGCGGCGGCGGGTGGTGCTCACCGATGCCCTCGGCAAAGTTGGGGTAGAACTCGTCGGTGAACAGGGGTTCCGGGAGCTCCCGGAAGTAGAGCTTGAGTGTGCCGGCGATGGCGTTGACGTCCATTTCACTCATCATCACCGACACGTCCTTGTTATCTGGGACGGATCGACATGCGCCCCTGATGTCACGCGCGAGGGCCTCGCGCCCCCCGCTGTCTTTCTTCCCTGTTAGCTGCCCCTCCTCCCCTCCTGAGACCCCAGGCGGCTCGGAGCCTGCGCGGGCGGGGCAGGCTCGCGCGGGTTGCAGCCCAGCATCTCCTGGGACTGTCAGCTCCTATTTAGTGTCTAAAGCCGTGCCTTCCCGCTGGGCTCAAGGGGCCAGGCTGCGAGGCTCGAAGGAGCAGAAGCTCGGCAGGCTAAGTGCACCCCGGGAGGAGTCTGTCGGCACACTGGGGCTCCACGTGGGGACGCTGGAGAAGCCCGTTCCAGCGCCTGGTGTACTCATTCAAAACTGGGGCTTCCCACCTACTTCATGGGGTTAGGGGTAATGGAACAGGGGGCTCAGAGCCACGTGGAGGGCAACACTGTGACCCTCAGGCCCTGACCCTGGGCTCTGACCCTGAGGGAAGTATGGGTCATGGAGTGGCCTGAGAATCTCAGGGAAGGAAGAAGCTGGCCCTGCCCCCGCTGCAGACACTCACTGATGTCAAAGGCTGCCTTCAGCGCCTGGATGTCCGTGGCTACTCCCGACACTCGGTAGATGCCCACCTCCTCCATGCCTCGGCGCTCAATCTCCTCCACGCACTGCCGAACGATGTAGGGCACCTTGGATCTCTCCCTCCTGCGGGGCAGGGTCGGGGGACAACCTCAGTGTCTGGCAGCGGCAGCCCCAGCCCATCCCTGTCTGCTGGGACCCCACACATCCGGAGATGGTGCTGCACAGAGCGTGGGCCTGTCTTCTTTCACCCCACAAGCCCCTAGTCACGGCTGCATGTGTTTCACTGGGACTTTCCAAGAGCTTGGGGTCCCTGGGAGGATGCACTTGGCTGATTACCCTGAGGCTAAAGGTTCGAGTCTACCCAGAGGGCTTGAACAAAGTCCTGGCTATCTAACTTCTGAAGTGTCAGCCCTTCAAAACCCTACAGTGCAGTTTTACTCTGACCCGCATGGGCGTGCTGTGGGCCGGGGCCACTCAGCAGCCCACCGCCCTGCGAGCGACATGTGGTCTTTGAGGCCTGGAAGCTTTGCTGAGTGAAGTCGGCCACACCAAGTCCAGTTAAAAGTCCCTGGGCTTGGGGAGTGGGACAGCATCCTGGGATACAGGCTAGTCTCCAAGTCAAGACATCAATGGACATGGTTTCAGCCACCATCTAGGCAGGAGACAAACTACTGACCTAGCCAGGCCCCAGGGAGGTAAGCTCTGCCCACAGCAGGCACTCAGCCAATGAATGCAGGACTCCAGGGGCCCTACGGGCTGTTCTCTTCCTGGTTTTAATGGGCGGTGATCAGTGATTCCTTCTTACTGTGGCTGCTGGCTCTGGTGCAGGGACCCGCACAGAGAACCACACTCCCCAGTGTTCACAGGGGCTGATTTTTCGGATTACCAGGCCTTTCTTCCAAGGGACCTCTGGGTAGACACGACCCTTTCACCTCTCTGTTAGCAGCGAAGGGAGTTAACTGCATCTCCATGTACGACCCCAGAAATAAGGACACCTCAACAACACAAGACGGCGGGGATCTGAGGCCTCCTTTTCCACCTTATTGTGCAATCAGACCCACGAACCCCCAAACCAGACTTTCCCAAGTTGCCCACCTTTCGCTTGGCCCCTGGCTTTGGCGTGTGGAGTGGCTGCCGAGGGAGCCCTCTCCACGCACGCTCAGAACCTCACAGAGATGCCGCGAGGTGGGGTGGGGGTGCTGTATGGACACAGGTGTCGGGTGCGTCTGTGGCTGGCCCTGGCCCAGGCCACCAGGTCAGGGGCCTGGCCAAGCTGCAGGCATCCCAGGGACACAAATAGATTCCGGGAGGACGCAAGACAAAAAGGCCTCTCCTGGCCATGGATTTAGGACAAAGGGGCAAAGGGTTGGGTTAGACTCCGTCCACTGCCCCAGGAGGAAGCTGGGGGGTGCGGCAGCTGAGCCAGGGACCCTCTGGGTGGGGGCAGGGTGTGAGCCCCCAGCCCCACCACTCACTTGGTGACCACGGCAATCTTGACCCCGAAGACCCCCGTCTGCTTTCGGGAGGGCATTCTCTTCAAGCTGAACTCCCTGCTGGTGAACTTGACGGACAGCTTCACTTCAATCTGCAGAGGGAAAGGGGGCTGGTGGCTCGCTCCTCCGCTGGGCCCGGGCCTTGGCACTCTTTTCCAACCCCAGGTGCCAGTGAGGCAGGGCCACAGCAGAGGGAGGCCTGGGCCAGCTGGTTGAGCACCAACATGGCTCACCCCTCCCCTGACCCCCAACCCTAAGTACAGTGAATGCGCAGGATGAACGTAACAAAAACCCACGGTGAAGGCTGACCAGTGTGGCTGTTTGGCTGGGCTGCGGTTCCCAGTGATTTGGCTCAACAATGGACTAGGTGCCTGTCGTCCCACAATGTCACCAGGTGTGGCGCAAGGTCCCCACCTTCCAGAATGTCTCTAAATGCCATGCAATGTCCCCACCTTCCCCGATGTCACCGGGTACAATGCTACCACGTTCCCTAACGACCTAAACCCTACTGGCACCAATCAATCCACTGAAAGGGGTGCCTTGGGCGTCTGCTCAGCCGTCAGAGTGACGGCAGGTGTTCTGGCAGGACCTGTTCCCTCTCCGCTCTGCAGCCCTCCTGTCCCCTTGGGGGTCCCCACCTGCAGGCCAGCCACCCCTGACCTATGGGTTTGGGACATGCCAGTCCCACAATCCTGTGAGTTGATCTCACAAAGGAATTCTGTCTCCGCGGTGTGCGTCCCTACAGAACTGAGACCACGGGTACCATCCAGTCCCTTTGGTCTCAGGGTTGTGGAAGCGGGGGTCTCCTTTGCTTTCTGAAAGCTCTCTGAATCTCCCAGGAGGGGGGTGCTGAGCACCAATGAGGGCTTGGGACCATCACTACATTCTGTCTTCCTGGTGTGCTTCCCTGGAGACCTCTGAGACATCCAGGGACTATCACTAGACCATGTTCTGTCCCTATGCTCAGATCCCCTTATTTATTTTTTTGTGATTTGGGTGAAAGTTGACAGAGCAAATTCATTTTCCACACAGCAGTTCATGCACATTTTATCTCATGACATTGACTGCAGTCCCCACCACAGAATAGCTCTCTTCCCTTCCACCCCACAGTTACTTCTTCCCTATCTCCTTCCCTCCCGTGCACTCCCGCCCCCTGAACTGTCTCTCTGTGCAAACACTGCCCTTCTGATCTCCCATGATGGAGCTCTCAAGGAGTGCATCTACCTGGCATAAATGTTCACCCCATATGCCTGTCTACTGTTTGGCTGGAAGCCACAGGAGTGAGTTCAGTTCCAGGCCTGAAGGGTGACTAGGGGCCATAGTCTCAGGGGTTCCACCAGGCCCTATGAGACCAATAAGCCTGGTCCTTTTTATGATTTTGAGTTTTGCTGCCCATTTTTCTCCCACTCTGTCCAGGATCTCCTATCATCCCTGTCAGAGTGGCCAGCAGTGGAAGGCGGGTACCATCCAGTCCCCTTGGTCTCAGGGTTGTGGAAGCGGGGGTCTCCTTTGCTCTCTGAAAGCTCTCTGAATCTCCCAGGAGGGGGGTGCTGAGCACAAACAAGGGCTTGGTCTCTGAGCGCAGACCCCAGGGCCCATGTTAAGGTCCCACCTTCCTGGCAGCAACAGTGGGTCATGCTCACTCCAGCCACCAACAAGAGCCCTCCCTACAGACGGTGGTCTCTCTGCCAGGGCCTGTCCCCTCCTGCCGTGCCACGCGCCAGCTCGAGTTCAGCTCCCCTGCCACTGCGTTAGAAGATACAGCTCACCCCGACCTTCTGGGATGTGGGAGCCTCTGGAGCGGGGTGGGTACGCACCCCGTTCATGGCGATCACGGTCCGCTGCCAGTCCTTGTCCTGCAACACCTGGTCAAGCTGCAACAAGGGGTCCCAGTTAACAGATGCCCTCGCGCCTGCTGGGGGCCACGCAGAGCAGCAACCCACCCCGACACCGTCTCCATGCCGAAGACGACTGAGGTGGGCCTCCCCACTCGCAGGACCGAGGTCACCGTACTGGAGCACCCGTGTCTGTGACACGGCCCCTCCCACTGTCCCTGGAAGCTGTGAGCTGACATCCGCTGCCAGCCTTTCTTGACACATCCTCCCCTGTTCCCCCACCGCTATAGATGCTCAGGTCGAACTAGGGGAAGGGGAGCCGTTGGGGGAAATGACATTTCGGGCATTCGGGCAGCCCAGTTTCCACGGCAACTTCTAGGCCACAGCGTCTGACAGCCATCTTTGCCACTGTGCTGTTTCTCCCCTAGGGACACCAGAGAGAGAGACTCCAGCCTCCAGACACCAGGGGCTCCAGGCTGCACTAGTACTGCAGGGTGGGGCCAGGAGGAAGCAGCAGGGGTCAAGGGCAGGAGAAGCCCCTCTGCAGCCCCTGACTTCTGCCCCCAAGAGTCCTTCCCCAGCAGCCAACCCGTGCGACAGTGTCGACCAACGTTACCCACACAACCTGCCACTCAACTGTCCTGATGTAAGCCATGGCCCTTTCCAAACACCTCACATGCATTCGAAAGCTGGGCAAAGAAAAACGGGGACTGAAGAAGGACTGACATTAGAAAACAAAATTCCTCCCAACCAGACCAATAAGCAACATCACGATAAATGGAGAAAACACTGAAGTTGTCAAAGATTTCGTATTACTTGGATCCATAGTCAAAACCCATGGAAGCAGCAGTCGGTAAATCAGAAGACGTATCGCACCGAGTAAATCTGCGGCAAAAAACCTCTTTAAAGTGGTAAAGAGCAAAGGCGTCACTTTGAGGACTAAGGTGCGCCTAAGCCAACCCACGGTATTTCCGGTCGCCTCCCATGCATGTGAAAGCTGGACAATGATACGGAGACCAAAGAAGGGTTGATCCTTGTGAGTTGTGCTGGCAAAGAATGCTGAAAGCCCCAGGAACTGCCAGAAGGAGGTACAAGTCTGTCCTGAAAGAAGTGCAGGCAGAATGCTCCTTGGAAGCGAGAATGGCTACCCTACAGCTTTCCTGGTTTGGACACGTTGCCAGGAAGGACCTACTGCTACAAAAGGACGTGGTGAGGCGCAGGGTCAGAGAAAAGGTTGGAAACCCTTCACGAGACGGGCTGGCCTGGCAGCCACACAGTGGACGCGCACCTACCCATGAACACGGAGCTGGGGCAGGAGTGGGCAACGCTTTGTTCTGTGGTCCGTAAAGTAGCCGCGTATCACAGCCAACTAACGATGACAACAACAGCCAAGTGAGCTGCTGCGTATGACGCACCAGCCGCAGGCCATGTCGTCTGCTCACAAGGGCTGTGCCGTCCATCCCCCTTGTGGACAGCACACATTCTATGCCAGGGGTCCCAGGGTGGGTGGAGGCTGGACTGGGGTTAGGCTGGCCACACCAGCAACTGCCCCACAGGGTCTCCAAGCTGTCAGTCTTCATGGAGCAAAGCCCCAAACCACACCCACTGCCCTGGAGTGGATTCTGACCCACAGCGCCCCTAGAGGACAGTGTGGAACTGCCCCACAGGGGCTCCAAGGCTGTCAGTCTTCACAGAAGCAAAGCCCAAACCACACCCACTGCCCTGGAGTCCATTCTGACCCACAGCGCCCCTAGAGGACAGAGTGGAACTGCACCACAGGGTCTCCAAGGCTGTCAGTCTTCAGGGAAGCCTCATCTTTCTCCCTAGGAGTGGCTGGTGGGTCAATGCAGGCCACTTAGCAGCCGAAAGCCTTACCCATGTGCCAGGGAGGTTCAACACCGTGTGGGGGAGGGGTCTGAACAGGTGACAGGAGACGAGCTGCAGGAGACACGCTCCCTCCCCCTCTCCAGGACATCATCACTTGGCCTCTCTCCCCAGGACACGTAACTCCCATGCGTCCATCCAACCCCCTCACAGCGCCCCCGGTGGGTGTCAGGGGAACCAGGTCCCACAGGGTTTGCCATGGCAGATTTTTCTAGAAGCAGATCAACGGGCCTTTCTTCCAAGGGGCAGCTGCATAGACCCGAACCTCCAACTTTCCGGCAAGCAGCTGAACTGTTAAACGTTTACCCCAGCCAAGGACTCCACTCAGAACTGTCAAAAGCGGTCGCTAGCAGCCCTGGAGCTTGGGAAAACATGGACAGGGCCGGGACGTCCCCTCCACCCCCCTCAGGTCATCTCCGGCCACGGCAACCCCGTCCGATTTGGCCCAGCCAGCCCCAGCCAGCCCCCCAGACCTGGCCCACCTTGCCCTTGTACACCAGCTTGCAGACACGGGTCCACAGGGCGCTGCCCCAGGCACACGGATGCTTCTTGGGGGGCGGTGCACAGCGCCGGCAGGGGGGCAGGGACTGCAGAAGGGGCTGCAGGGCAGTGGGGGTGGCCAGCGCGCCCAGCATCCTTGGGCCGGCTTCCCTGGGCCCGTCAGCCCGGCCTTTTGACCAGCTCCTGAAGCTCCGCTCCGGGGGACCCTCTCACGTCAGGGCTTCCTGTCCTTGCCTATCTTACTCTTATTGTCCCTATGGAAAAACACACCCCTCCCCCAGGCCTGCAGCCTGCAGTGCCGGGAATTCCAGCGTGTCACTTCCAGTGTGTCCCTTTCTAATGAAAGCTCAGAAAAGCCTGGCTTCCTTCTCAAGCGCTGGTTTCCGCTGGCAACCTTTAGGAACGCTGAGTAAACCACGCCAGGCCTGTCACCCAGCTCCGTGCTGGACATGTGCTGGACAGGCCCGTGCCCACCACCTCCTGGAGGCTGGATACGCTGCCCTGTGGGCTCGAGCCACCCACAGCCATTGGAGGCGGGAGTCGCCCCCTACCCAGCGTCCCCCCACCCCAGCTGTGAACACCCCCCCCAACCCCAGGCTTCGGCTGTGCTGGTCTCAAGAAAGCGTGGACTATGGCAGCAAGGCTGCCTGGTAGCCAGTGACTGATGGCAAAAACAGCACGCAGTGCCTCTGGGCCCCCAGTCCGTGTGGTGGGTTCAGCGGAAAAGGCCCCACTGTAGGGAACAGTGGGCTGTCAGGGAGGAACGGCCATGTCCTTCCCTCACCTCGCCTGAACCCAAAAGACACTCAAGGCTGACGTTTCTCCATGCAGATGTTTAAAGCACCCGTGGGGTAAATAGAGGCGAGGCCAACAGACGGCTGACTGGGAAATGGCATTCAAGGAAAACGCGGAGTCTACCCAGGATACGGCAGGGCTCTGCTGGACGCAGGGAGGAGTGTGGCCTACACCACAGGGTGGCAGGGTGTGGGGCAGCCCGCTCCCACCCTGGCGCTCCCTGGGGACAGTCTCCCCTGAGATAGGGCAGGGTGGGGGTCTTGGAAGAACTGGGGCTGACAGACCTGGTGGACGGGTGCCCAGAGGCTGACCCAGACAACTGGTCATGGCATCATGCCAGGGAGGTGGGGGCCCTGCAAGTGGTGAGCTTTGTCCCGAACACGGCCACCTCCAACTGAACAAGTGCTACTCTGTCATGCTCTGCAAAACCCC